GGGTTTTTTGTTTGTTTGTTTGTTTGTTTGGAATAAGAACGTCTGCCACTGATTTAAGGGAATATACTCAAGGGTCTTAGAATTTCTGACAAAACTTGCTAGTGGTAATAGTATATATATATATATATATATATATATATATATGTATATGTATATATGTATACACAATTTTACACAGTCTGTAGTTTACATTATTACAAACAAACAAAAAAAAAAAATGTCATTCAGCAGGATTGTGTCCACCAGAGTATATTAATGCAGATTTTTTGAGTTTGCGCATCACCAACAGGTTCCTTTGAGAGTTTATAGGTACTGCTCAGCATAGCCCTCCATTTCACCCACTTTTTGAGTAGTTGTACCATTTATTTTTCTGAGCCTGCAAATACCAATTGCTTTTAAAGACTGATTTTTGATTTGGGCCACTAAGGCACTGCATAACAGACCCCAGATTTCAGCTGATTTTACACAGTGCTGCAATGGCCGTATGGCATTGCATAGGTCTAGGTAGAGCTCTGATCCCAAACATAATGCTGCAGTGTCAGTGCCTCAGAGAAATGCACATTCTCTTAGGTGCAACTTCATATTGATGCAGTGACACTATTTCCTATTATGAATTTACCTTGGCGGCTGCTAGCAGAGGGATCTCTGAACACGCACCACTGCACAATGTAAATATGCCCTCCAGTATGTGTGTGTACATCAGTTTTTTAGTCTATAATGCCAATTGCAAATATTGTCATGCATGGTTGTGGTGTCTGTGTTTACAAACTGTAAAGAGGCTTAAGTGTTTATCCCCTTTATACACAGAGATATCCTGGACGTGTTCAGACAACATGGAAACCCTGCTCTGGCTCCCATGTTCGTACTTCTCATGGAACAGGGTGCACATTGCTTTTCCTTTACTAACTCTGCCAGGATCTTTACTAGCTTTCTATAGGGGGAATGTCTTAATGCAGTACTCTAAGTTGTTCTCTGACAGATTTGCTTCCCAGAGGATAACAGTTAAATAGAATGAAAGATATTTAACTCAGTATCTTTTACTTCCTAATCATATCAGTATTAACCAGCCTCTTATGTGGCAGCTAGTCCGTCTCCAGTGCCTGATTTAAAATGTTGTGCTTTGCTTGGGTTCTTCTAAATGGCACTTCAAACTTTGAGATGAACAGATCAGAAACAGATCTTAATCAAATTACATATGACTTGTTTTGAAGTAAAACATAGAGATTGCAATGGAGGTTAGAGCATTATGTATTGCTCCTCTGCAATGCACACACTAAAAGACAGAACTACTCATGTTAATGAAATGGCTTAAAATCTCAGTTATAATGTGATTTGATTTTCAATTAATGAGTTTTATCTAAGCATTTGGAAGCAAATGAATGGATCAATGGCTCTGTGTTTGACTAGAAAAGAACATAAAAGGAGTTGGATCCCTGTTTTAGTCTTTAGCTACAGCTTTACTTTAGGTAGAGTATATTGTGTCATACTATGAAATACTTACTGCAGCTGATTGAAATGTAGCTCATCTTCACATAAGTAATAGAACACCTATAATGTTAATGCACAACTTTTAAACTGAAATTGATCAGTTACCTCACTTTTCTATAGAAGCTTTAAGATTAAAATAATGCATTTGAATTTGCACAGGTCAAAATTCAGGGACAATGAGAATGGTACTTCAGCTCACTTCCATGCCAAGTCCCAGCATCACTCTGGAGCTTAAACATGGCTTCAGAATTGACCAAATGACAAGCCAGAGAAAAGCCAAGCAGGCAGTGCCTTGTTAACTTGCATTTTAGCCCTCACACAGAGGAATTCCTGTCTTTTACACATGCTTTCCTCCTTCCCCTGAAATGAATACTCCCTACTCCAGTACAGCACTAGGTGGATTAGATAATGTTTTGCATTCTCCTAAAAGTTCATAATTCTGTCTTTTTTAACTATAAATGGAGACACTGATTTCCATCATTATTGCACCCAAAAGTTAACCAAGTTTGCTATCACATTTTATTTGCATTCTACAGTGGGTATCTATGAAGATAAGATATGATGGTCTCATTTTATTTTATGAAGAAGGAGACTCAGAAATCATGAGTAAGATGTGTAAATAACATTACCACCATGTAGCATTTGATCACATAGGGTTAAAAAGAATAGATCTGAAAATGCTAACAAGTCTTTTACTGAAATATTTCACTCAATTTAATATTGCGGATGCTGAGAGTAGGAATACGATCCTGTGAAAAGGAAGAGAAACTAAAGAAAGAAATTTCAGGGTTTTCAGATCAAATGCAATGGTAAAATATTCTATATTTTCTGTTAAAAAAAAAGTATTTACATCAATAAGTTCTTCTAATATATTAATATTTCCATTTATGCAGTCAAGTGTATGGATTTGATCATAAGGAGGTACAAAAATCAGACATGTTACTCCCAACTAATTTTTAAAATATACTCACGTATCACCTGTATATGTCTCTTGAGTGAATGAAGGTGAAATACAATTTGAAGAGGAATTATTTCTTTGAATAATTAATAATGCTACTAAATCAATTTATCATAAATATTTGAGATTATTTTTTCAAGTCTCATACATTTTAACACATTTTATAACAATTTCTGAGAAGAAATAGCACAAGATAAGAAATTTATTATGGCAAGAGTCGTATGTCATAGTCAATGAATTAACCACTTAGTAGTGTCAGGAGAGTTGATTCATCACATATATGAGATTTGAAAATTTCAGTCAAAAATACAGATATAGGGAATCACTTCTGATGGTGCCTTCAAGCTCAATTAAAGTGGTTAAACTGAACTGTAAACCAGTTTCAGCCTAGTTGTGATGACCGGACTGGGATGTCTCAGAGATCACAGTGCTTCCCTGAACATGCAGGAAATGTATATGAAACCACAGCATAGCAACTGTTGATATGAATTGATTTTTAGTGGTAAGAAATACAATGATTCATAAAGTATATATTTCTTCTTACTAACATAATCTCTTAATAAGCTTATGTGTGTTACCCACATGAGTTTACCATACTATTTTATCATTACTTTAATTACATACCATTTAAATCCATTAATTTTTTTTTTCCTAGATCTTCATCCTAGAACTTTGATAATAACCATTAGAGACAATGATACTTCCTTAAATTTTCACTGCATGTATTTCTGTATGTACAAGTATCTTGTAGGCATCTTCTGTTTCTTGTTAAATAATGCTAAGTAAATTCTACAGACTTACACATCAATGAGGTTGCCAAAGATATAACTCATGACTGAAACTGAACAATTCTTTTCCTCAAAACTTCCAACTCAATTTTCTTATGTCACCTTTATTTAAATAGTTGTACTCTTAAAATACTCAGGACAACCAGCATATTTCTTGCTTTTGTTCACTACTTAGGTAAAAATTGTGCCTTTTATTTCCCTCTTAGTGTTGAAGTTACTTCTTCAAATCTAACAGAGAGGTGATTTTTATTAGATATTAGGAAGAAATTCCTTTCTGTGAGGTGAGATGCTGGAACAGTTGCCCACAGAAGTTGTGGATGCTCCATTCCCTGAAAGTGTCCAGGTGTGACAGGGCTCTGAGCAAGCTGGTCTAGTGGAAGGTGTCCCTGTCCATGGCAGGGGGTTGGAACTGGGTGATCTTGAAGCTCCCTTCCAACACAAACCATTCTATAATTCTATGATTCCATGATTCCATGATAATTTTTCATAAAACATAATAGAAAATCATATTTGAGAGAATTTCAAATGGACATTTAGTCTATTCTCTTGCCCCAGAGCACTATCAACAGCATTTAGACCATTCTCATGTAGGTCTTTTACTAACCTAGGTCTTTTGCTAACCTAGTGATGGAAATTGGACTGCATTCTTAGGCAACCTAAATGAATATTTCACTACCTTTTCAATGCACCTCTAGCATCCCTGCATAATAGCTAAACTTCATTCCATTTTGAACATTGTTATGACTCCAAAGAATATGGAGATTATACCAGTACCTTCTTCTTTGCAGGAACTGTTTGAACCCATGTGGGATTATGGGATCTGCTGTCTTAGTGAAAGACTGTGTTTCTCTACACCCCAGGGTAAAACACTATAAAAGGTTAATATCCCAAAGTGCTAAAGCTGTAAATAACTATTTTAACATACTCAAAAAGCATTCTTCACTGCCTCATTGCTCCTAAGCAATGATGAGGAATATTCCAGAAAATATTATTGCATATCTGTCTTTTAATATCTGTAGATATCACGTGGATTTTTTTTAAATCATAGGTAGAATCCAACTAATTTTTAATGGTAAAATCATGTTAGAAGGGAAACAGCTGAAATAACCCTAAAATTGCCCATATGAGGAGTCCCTCAAAGACAGGGCCATATTATTGACTTGCCAACACAGAAGGATTCTCATTGTGTACACTTGTGTTGTGCTTGGCCAGTGGGATAACTGCTGACCTTAAGTGGCATTTGATGTCTTCATTTTCACAAGCAAAGTAGCTACATAGGCAGGTGCAAACTCATTAAAAAAAATTTGTATCAGGTGGAACTTTATTGGAGCTTTTGAGAAGCTAATTATCATCACCTGCACTAAGAAGAAAAAAAGAAAAAAAAAAAAGTTAAGTAATTTACTCAAACTTCCTGCTCAAAAGTCACCCAGAAGTATCTTAAATTCGGTTTATCCAACAAGAAACAGAAATTTGAGAAGACTAGCCTAAGCAAAAATTCTTCTTGCTCACTTCATGACATTCCATCAAAAATGTGGAGAGAAGACTCCTCCTAGAGTGTAAATAGCTGAGGGAAAGTCAGAGCATCCTCTATTTACCTCTGCACCTGCAAAAGAAAACGAAAATGTCTGAAGCCCCACCTTTTAAGAGCCTTGTGAAACAACCTGGGAACCGAGCCAAATTCTGCTCTCTCACTATATAAGAGTTGGGAACAGACAGGTGTTTCCTCAGAGGCAGGTTGTTCGGTAGGTTCTACCGGACCTCCAGAGATGGGTAAAGGTGGTGGGACACGAATACCACTATGGATATCAATCCTAGCCCTGGTCTTCATACAGATCAAAGGTAGGAAGATTCACTTGCTTGGCATTTTTACTGTTTTAAAGAATTTATAACTTGCTTTGGAGTTTGAAGCATTTTTTTTTCCCTTGGCTTTGTGAAGTTAATGAACCTGTTACCTTCATGCAAGATTTTATTTTCTGCTTAAAAATACTTTCTTTCCTAAGAAGAGAAAATTAACTCTTTTAAAACTGTCATCCTATTTTTCTCCAACTGAAATCTGGAACAGCTGCACTGCATTGAGTGGAACTTTCTCTGAACTTATATATCTACAAAACATGCCTCAAGATTTGCATTTAGCTTTTAATATCCACTTTAAGGTGGTATAGCATTTCTAAATGTACAAACCAAAAGGCGCAAAGGTACCTCTGGAAAGGAACAAATCAACTAAGGAGTATGTCTGCATGAATTATTAAAGACTCTGTTTATCAGCTGATGATAGAGTATTGAAGAAAGGGAGGATTTTGCTTGAAAATCATCAGGCAATAAGTTTCAAAAATTAATTTATTCTTGCTTATGAGATTGCATAGAAGCTTAGCACACAGAGATGGTTTTCAATGGACTGAAAATAAATGGAAGCTATAAATATTTTGAGGGCACTTAAGAGTCACAGATGGATGGAAACCCCTTTAATTTTTTTTTTCCTTTGTCATCTGATAATTTCCCTTTAAGTTTAAGGTAACAACAATGTTAGTTTTAAATGCATTTTGATCTCTAGTGCAGATCCTGTTGTATGATTTCATATTTTTCCTGTTCCTAGGTAGTTCCATAGTAACTTATGTTAAGAAGTTGTAGCATCAAAGAATAGCCTATGACAGGACTAGCTGGACTTGCTGTAGCATTAGCAAAACATGCAATGGCAGCAGGGATCTGCAGTGCATGTGGCATGAGACAGAGCAGAGCCACACAGTACGTGGAGAGAGAAGCAAAAACTCTCTGAGGCTGGGCACTGAAGGAGCCCAGAAGCACTGAAAGGTGCTTCTTAAAAAGGGACACACATCCTCTAATCCCTGCTCTTTGGCCAGGAGGGCACTTGCAGGGTTCCCTTCAGCTCTGCTTTCAGCCTTAGCCCCTCCAGTGGTCCTAACCACAGACTGCCCTTGTGAGGGGCAGCAGGGGGTGAACTTCCCCTTGCACTTTTCCCTGGCCAGAATAGTCTTTGCCTCAACCTGCCCTCTGATGAGCTCTCACTAAACAGTGCATTAAAAGCCCCACTGGATAATGCATGTATTCTAGTTCTGATGCTGCACTGGAATGGAATGAAAAATGGTTTCTTTGCTTTGGGGTGAAATCAACAGGCACAAATGTATCTATTGGAAAGACCTTGCCTTCTGTGCGATGTGGCTTTTGCATTTATTTTCCTTCTGTGGCTCATTACAAAGAATATCAAAGCCAAAGTTACTCTGTATTTTCTAGTTTCAAGCAAAGATCAGTCCTCTAACTCTAAAGTTAATTCTTTGCATACAAAAGGGACTTATTTGAAAGCCATCTAACTAGAAAAAAAGGTTTTACTGATGCTTAAAGCACAGAGTGATCATAAAACCTAAGAAATTTAGGTCCTTTATCTGAAAAGCTTCTAAGGGGATCCAGGGGTGTACTGTGACAGAATAAGGACCTGCTCAAATCACCGCAGGTATGTTTTTGATTGCTTCCCTGCAGTAATTTATTACCCAAAAAGTTAAAAAAGGAAAAGGCTGAAGGGGTGGTGTTTGGCCATCATTGCATGTAGCATGGGTCCTGATGCATTTCTGGCCTCCTGTACATAAACATATCTTTTTCATATACTGAGTCTTGCACATTTAAACAGATATAATTGAGACATTATCAGGGGATTCAAGAAAATTAGACATTCAGATTTCCTTTACTATTCTTCTCGATGCAGTTCAAGCCCAGGGTGGTGAACAACCAACAAAGTCAGAGTATGTTTCTCCATCTCTCCTGCAGCGACAAAAATGTAGGTACTTTTATGCTGATCTCTTTCTAAGGTTTTGTTCCAAATAGAGGCGATAAATAGTAAGATTATGAGAATATTTTGACTCCTAGCTACACACATACCACATACAATAAAAGAGAAGCCCTCTGTACAATATATCCAGTTCTCAGACAATCTCTGACTGCTCTAAGCTTCGGAATTTCCTCTGAGATCTGGCCCAGTGGATCTGCTCTACTGATACGATACAGTTATCTAATCTTTGACTTCACGAAAGGTACATAACTTATATCTAAAAGTGTATTTTCAGAAGAGGTGTGTGTTTACATACATATCACCAAGGTACTTGATAGTAGGTAATAAAAGGCACATTTTTTTACACTGTGTCAAGATGACTGCATCACTCACAAGAGAATAAGAAAGCTGTAACTACCTTAAACATTAGAATAATTATGTACTACAAGATCATGCATGACACATAACTAGACAGTGCAAAATAAGGGTAGAAGGATCCAAAGCTGACTGGTGTATTAGTGATGACAGTCACTGAAATAATTGATCATTAAGTCTGCCCTGCAAAATGTGTCCACAGGTTATTTAAAAATAGCTGTTGTAGTCAGTATTACAATACAGTGCTCTGAGGATCATATTGCTGCTTTTGAGTTCAGAGTATCAGGGTCAGCATCAGACGGAAGTCTTGAACGAATGATGGAAGAAAGTACTACATCCTGTGCAATTTAGCTGTTAGTGAAATTTATAGAAAGACAGAACACAAAGCATTATGTAAAAACCACTAATAAGACCTTGTGGAAAGTTTCCACTAGAGTGTAACTAGTAGGAAATATTATTCACTAAAAAGATTAGGCAATCTCTACCCATGTTTTAGGACTTCAGAAAAGATTAAACCTGGCCATTTTTTCTCCTTTCTATTTTCTACCAGCTTTCAAATCCCAAGGAGTGACAATCATTCCACCTTTTCAAAATGCACTGAAAGTAAAGGGTAAGTAAAACAAATGTCATGGCTCAGATATCTGTGCCCCTGTTAATGACAAAGAGCATGGAGTGACTAAAAAAAAAAATAAATTGTGCAAGAACCTTTAGCATCATAAAAAATTAACAGAGAATTAATTTATCAGGTAATACAGATAATCTAAATGTGAATCTAGGGCTTCTGACTCATTGTTCTATGATGCAGCTGTAAGAAAAATTTTTAATATATATATTTAAACATGCATATGTATTGTACATGTTTTTCCATGTACATTATACAATACACTGGTATTATATATATTTCCAGTGAAGAGAGGAAAATACTAGTGTGCTGAAAACTGCTGAGGCATTTATCCAGGGAATAGGGTACTATTCAAGCAGGCTGAGTGTAAATGTGGAAAGGGATTGGGAACATAATCAAGGATTTTTTGAGAGTATGCTTGCAAGGAAAGGAAAACTAAGAAGATATTTCTATAATGGGCTGGGGGAGGAGTAGGGAGGTGGAACCCCTTCAAGGTGAAGTGTAATTTTGGCACAAGAACACCCAGGCATACATGGGACAGGAATATATTTTGGAAGATGTTGACCAAAGTCTTCCAGCCATTTAGAGGTTGTGGGTATGAGTGGCCTTCCCAAGCAGGAGTGTCAGCTAGTTTTAAACTAGCTTTAAAATGGTTTTATGATGAAATTTTACATACATACATTTAGGAAAGGATTCATGGGATAGGGAAGTCATCAGAACTAGAGCACTGGATCTAGTGACCCCAGAGGGATCTTTTGATCCTAGGCCCTATATCTCTATGCAAAACTGATTAAGCATAAAAAGCAACTGAAATAAATAAATAATGACTTTAAAATGGTTTTATTATGAAATTTTACATACATACATACATTTAGGAAAGGATTCATGGGATAGGGAAGTCCTCAGAACTAGAACACTGGATCTAGTGACCCCAGAGGTCTCTTTTGATCCTAGGCCCTATATCTCTATGCAAAACTGATTAAGCATAAAAAGCAACTGAAATAAATAAATAATGACAAATATCTTGACAAAACAGAAAAAAGATGAGCTTTTTGGAAAGAGGCTGGTGAAAGAAGCAGGAGGGATAAAACATCTACAGGGAGCATATTACAAAAAACTACAGAAAATTCTTATTGCTTATTTTGAATCCACAGCTGGCAACCCCTCTCACAATGGCCGTGTGTGTAGCACATGGGGTAACTTCCACTTCAAGACCTTTGATGGGGACATCTTTTACTTCCCTGGGGTCTGCAATTACATCTTTGCATCCAACTGCAAGTCTTCCTATGAGGACTTCAACATCCAGATTAGGCGTGCAATGGTGGAAAATGCTACTGTGATCACTCATGTCATCATGAAGCTGGAAGGAGTAGTGATCGAACTGACCCCCAGCTCTGTCCTGCTCGACAACAAACTGTATGTTCCTACCTTGTTCTGGGCTCTTTGAGCAAGTATCCCTTTCCCTCATCTCATCATTGCTCTCAAGCAGTGGGAGGGCTCAGGTCCTTCCTGAAGCGGTAACAAAAACAAAGGAGGGCTTGACAGCAAGCTAAGTGTCTCTTGTGCAGATTATCCCTGTGGCTGTTTTGTTCAGATGAGCTGTATCCAATATACTGTCCCACTGCTACAATAGTGTATGTATGCAAGCAATTAAGTCTGTAAGCTGCATTCTTTACACCATTGAAGTTAGTAGTTTCTATTAATCTTACCACAGCAGAATCCCTGTGAGGAATTTTTGACAGCTTTTGTTCTTGCACTGAACAGTGTGCAGTAAAGCAGTGACTGCTCTTCAGCTTGTACCTGAATTAATTTTAAATTATCTGTTTGCTATCTATGTAGCAATTGTAGCACTGACTTTTGCATAGGGTATGAAACCTACCCAAAAGGCCAGGTAAATATTTGGGCAGCTATCCCACAGTAAGTTGTCTGTTATGGCAGCTATGTACAGTGAGCTAGTCTAAAGGTTATCTCGGGTACAGCTTCCTCAATGGCACTCATGTCACACAAAGCCTGGAGTCTATCCCTTTATTAGCAAGTGCTTCAAGGAGTAAATAGCAATATCCTGAAGCACACTGGCTGCAAAACAGAGCCTCTCAGCACTTTTTTGACAAAAATACAACCACAGACATATGCTAACATTTTACCCAGCAAAACACCCTTAATGGAGAAAGCCAAGAGGAGCACCAGGAGGCTGATTCTTTTGCATGATGAGAGACAATTGCATAGGAAATAGACAAAATATTAAAAACTTGTGTTTTCTGTAGTAGTTCTTTCTTTCTTCACAGATACATGTTGAAAATTCTCAGAGAATGAGAAAGGATATTCTTGTGGACATTCAATGGATATTCTGTCCCTACCTCTGCTGACTTATGATGATCTTTCCCCAGGGTCCAGATGCCCTACAGCCATATGGGAGTCTTTATAGAGAGAAGTAACAACTATTTGAAAGTTTCTGCCAAGCTGGGACTGACCTTCCTTTGGAATGGACAAGATGCCCTCCTGGTAAGAAAACACCCAAAACACAGCAGAAAGTCTGTATTTTGAAAATAATCCACTTACACCTTTGTAGTATTACAGCCAGGCAAACATTAGTTACTTCTGGATTTGTGTCCATTTTTAGTGTAGTGTTCTGCCTTCCAGTCTTCTCTCAATTTCCTGCTTTTTCGCCACCAAGCTCAGCTCAGAATCAACAGATGCCAAATGTTCCTACCTCACCATGAAGTGTTCCTGAGATTCCAGGCCTGGCAAAGTATTGATGTTCACAACCCAGGGCTAGGATAAGAGCGAGCTTTTCTTGGTCATCACTGGCCATTCCAGTGGTGCCTACCTTGTTATCACACAGCACAGTCTCCACAAGAAACATCTCAAATTTTGACTACACAAGCAGTACTGGCATAGGCTGTGCTCCTAACCATCAAGAGTGCCCTTTCTATAAATCCCCCTCTTTTTTTTAGGTGGAGCTAGATAAGAAATATGCGAATCAAACTTGTGGACTTTGTGGGGACTTCAATGGAATTCCAGTCAGCAATGAATTTATTTCAGGGAGTAAGTAATAAAAAGCATTATTAAGTACTGGTGCTTTTTTTTTTTTTCTTCTTAGAATATACTTTAATATAGGTTGTGGGTAGAAAACTGGGGATACTTCATGTATTCCTGTGACATCAGTTATGCAAAGCCAGGATTTTGAGATGTAATTAGACTGCTTCCATCACTGTTAGATATTTTAAGACCTGCCGCATTAAAATTTCTAGTTGTTTTCAATACTTAGGATCCAGTTTTTTATATATATTGTTCATATTTTCCCTTTCATACCATAGTGATATTATTTGGTAATCACTTTTTTTGTTCACGTCATAGCAGGTAGTGTCACAAAAGAAAATAACTCCATGTAAAATTTAGTAAGCATTATTCTAATATTTGAACTCTTTTTTTACAGAAACAAGACTGACCCCCATACAGTTTGGTAATAGGCAGAAGATGGATGGTCCCACAGAGCAGTGTGATGATCCTATTCCTCCTACTTCTCTGATGAACTGCTCAAGAGAATTTGTAAGAACCTCTCTCTCAAAATTTGTTTCCTCACTATGAATACATCCTCTGTCTTTGGAAAAAACTTTTTAGAAGGGGGAAAAAAATAAAGCATGAATATGACTCAGCTATAGGTCTCAAAAGAAAAATATTCTTAATTTCATGTTGTATTCTATATTGAAGTGAATGCCAAAAATTTTTATTCCCCTTCTACAAGAAGACTGCATATTCTCCATAAAGAGAAAATTACTGAGGTTGTCTTAATATAAAGAAATTATATAATGCTTGGGAAGTGACCTGAGGTGACAGTAACTAAGGGTATGAGAGCTACAAGAATAATTCAAAGGAGTTCCATGTGGTTTTGCCCTAATGTTTTATTTTTCCTTAAATATCAGCTTATAGATACTGTTGGAAGGGTTTGTGGACCAGATCAATCTTTGATTTGTTCTGCTCCATGCCTTCATTAATTATTTTCATATGTTCTCAGCACTTTGTTTACCTTCTCTCTTTTCCTTCCTAGGCCTCTATCTGTGAGACCGTATTAACCAGCAAAGCATTTACAAGTTGTAACGTGCTTGTGAATGTCCAGGACTACATTGAAACTTGCATACAAGACCTGTGCCACTGTGACAGCTCTATGGCTGACTTCTGCATGTGCAACACCTTTGCTGAGTACTCCCGGCAGTGTGCTCATGCAGGTGGACAGCCCCAGAACTGGAGAACCTCAGACCTGTGCCGTGAGTATCTTGGGAAGGGACCTCCACCTGTGCTTACACATCTAGCAAACTTCACATGTGTGAGGTTTTTTTCCTGAAGAAGACAGTTTAAAAGTGCATGCAATTATAATGAAACCAGTTTTTACCTGGTCATACACTAGACTTTGGGAATATGGACGTTTAGGGGATTTTGCCTAGGGGCTTTTCAATATGAATGAGAAAATCTAAAATGTTTCAGCCTCTGCTTGGATCAGGATACCCTATCATATCTTGACAGAAAACAACCTAAATTGAAAAAAAAAAAAAATGCTTTCTCAAACTTTTAAATGAAAAGCCAGCTTTATAATACTCTTTCTACTTTTAGCCAAATCATGTCCGTTCAACATGCAATACCATGAGTGTGGCTCTCCCTGCTCCGACACGTGCAGCAACCCGGAACGATCTGCACTTTGTGAAGATCACTGTACAGATGGCTGCGTCTGTCCTCCAGGCAAGATCATTTCCTGCCCTTTTCTCACACTTACCCCTCTGGAATACTCACCTGTACACATTTAACAACTTTCGTACTCTGGATCATTCCCATCACATCATCAGTGTTATTGTCATGGAAGTAATAGCTACATTTCTTGCCCTGAATGCACTATTTCTATTCAAATTACTAAATATGGCCTTTTAAACAACAAATGTGCTTTATATATATATTTTTAAATTTATATATATAAAATGGCTGAGAATAAGATAATCTGCTCCTAACAACAGCAGAGTCTTCTATTCTCAGCATTCAAATTCCGTTCACAGAAAGTATAAAATGTTTAAGCAGATTTTGCCTGCAATCATAACTCCTGCTGTTAGCAAAGCTGCATCTGGTTCCATAAATGACCAAATCCTTCTTGTCAAGTGTTGTGTCTAAACAACAAGGAGCTGACAGAGCACTAGGTAGTGTGTTAGATCTGGTGCTTCAGAGAATTACACACAAGAACTGCGTATCAATACAAGATAGATGTGTTCTTTGTGCATATTTCTGGGTCTAAATTTTTGTTGCTGTTGTGACTGTGTATCACAGGAACTTCACCCCTTGCAGCTGTTCTGCCCATCCCCATGATGTCTCACAGAATTCACCATAATTTGTTTGTGTCATAGCATTGACTTATCTAAGGCAATCCTCTGTCTCTGGGCATAGAAATATTTACTGTACAGATATGTCATTGGGCAGTCTTACAAATGGTTCATATATTTCAGCTCGTTACCTAATAATTTTAATCCTAATTCCATTCTAATGAAATCCATAACAGATTGGTACTTTGCTAGAGGCCCCTTTGATCATGCAAAGATTTTAAATAGACTTCAATGGAATATAGCCCTTCAATCTCTACATAGCTTGCACCCTAATATTTTAAAGTACAGCAGAAATGGGACATAGTCTTAGGCATCTGCTAGATGTGTGTTCAAAGGCAGGTTCTGCAGAGCACAGAATAAATAACAGACCCTTTCTTTTCCTAGGAATGGTATTTGATGATGTTAATGGTGCTGGCTGCATTCCCCGCAGAGAATGCCACTGTACCTACGAAGGTGAAACTTATGCTCCTGGTGCCTCCTTCTCATCTAAATGCAGATCATGGTAACATATTTTCTCACTTTTTGGGGTTTTGGGGGTTTTTTTTGGGTTTTGGGTTGGGTTTTTTTTGTCCATGAGCTGAATATTTACTGATTTTCCCTTAAAAAACAAATGAGCAACTACTTACCAAATTTTTGTTCCCTGTGTGAAGTTCCATAATTACACTGCTTTAGAGGTTGCTTTCACGTCCGTTTTCCCTTCACACAGGGAACAATAATTTGAGTTTTTGAACCGGTGGTTCAATTTCAAGAAATTCCAATGAAGGAAGATCATCAAAGTCAAATACCAGAGGTGTTTAAAAATGTGAATTAGTGTTATACCTTTGCAGCACTACTGTGTAATGCTAAGGTGCTCATATAAATATTATAGAGATCATGACATTTGGGGGCATGTTACATTTAGTGTGGGATATCACATTTGAGAGGCATGTTTGACAAATATATATATATTTTTTTATCCCTATAATTACTGAAGTATTACTGCCTAAGTGTATGCGACTGTATCTACCTATTTATTTATTTTCCAAGAAATACTTAAAATATCTGACATGGATTACAAGTTCACCAGGACTGAATTCTGTCCAAAGATTGGAAATGAACAACAACATATATAGAAAATTATCACCTTAAGATAAATGTGCCTGCCCCATATTTGTCTGAGATTTCAAAGCAATACTGGTTTCTTTGGCACTATGATCCGTGTTTCAAGAGGAAAATTAGGGCATCATCTGCCCTTACTGCCTTTTTATTTTGTGTACACTTGCATTACCCACTGTCACTGAATGCCTCCTTCATTTCAGTACCTGTGTTGGAGGTGAATGGTCTTGTGTCACTCAGTCATGCCCTGGGACTTGCAGTATTGAAGGAGGTTCCCACATTTCAACATTTGATGAGAAATACTATTCCTTCTTTGGAGACTGTAGTTATGTCCTAACCAAGGTAAAAATGAGTCACAATCCTTGCTAAAGGAAAATGGTTTTATTACATATAACGTTTTTTGATGAAAACTTCTGGCAATCACATCAGTTTTCTGAGTCACTGAAGGTTAACGTGGCTATAGGGTTAACACCCCTAAATGGATTTCAGGTGCTCTTCTGTTAGGGTTATACTAAATCATATTGTAGTATTTTTGTGTTCTTTGATAATTTTTTAGGATTTGCACTGAGTTTTTTGTTAGATTTCATAAGCCTAGGTGTATTCATTGTTTATTTTTACTGAATGACTTAGGTAAACTATTTTCATAAGGACTTCATATTAAATAAAATCTTCTTGACATGATCAATCTGAATGTTACCAAGAAAAAAAAATAATAAAATCTTAAAAATTAGCTAGAATGAGATGATTTAGAAATAGATTAACTTAAATCAATAAAACTTTTGGATAGGATTCACAACCACTGCTTTAAGGCACAATGGAAGCATAGGTCAGACTTAGACATTAAACTCCTCCTTTTGGCACCAACACGTAAAATTAGATTCTCAGGGTCTTTGGAGGCAGAGGAAAACCCCTAAATTTGTAAACAAAAGTTCAAAAAGCCCCAGAATTTAATAATGAATTTCTAGATGGCTATAATTCTGCATCTCAGCCGTCTTCTATTTAGTCTTTAATATGCCAAAAAAGTGATACAACACATTCAGAATTAAAGACTTCTCTGAGTCTTTCTCTGTTGTGTTTTGGCCATTAGGCACACTTTGAAGATGGCTCATAGAACACAGTTCTATGAAAATCAGAACTGGGTCAAAATCTGAATCTTTATGTAGCAACTTCCTGAATAATAATTTCATTTTCTGTGAGAAGATATTTAAATCCATATTTCCTACCTGTTAAAAGAATGTCCAAATCACCAGGGTCTTGAATAATCTATTCAGTGCAGAAGACATTGGAAAAAATCTTTTCTCTCCCTGGTAAACTTCATAACCAGTGGGCAAGAAAGGCACACCTCCTTCTTATTTAGCATACTAAACAGGTATTACCTACACATTATGAGCTTGTCTTACTAATGCCTGAGGAAGTTTTAATGTTCAGATTAATATGTCTAACTCACCCCTGAAAGCCAGAAGCAATGCAGTGTGCAGACTGCATGAATGCCAACTTACTTGGTGATTCCAGACATACATGTTAGACCCTAAGAGGAAGAAGAAATTAAATAAAGTGTTTTTAAAAGACTAACTTTACTAAGAGTTCCGTTTGAAATTTTTGGAGATTACTATTTCAATATAGCAAATCCTTTTAACAATACCTTTGGTTTTCTTCTTCAAGCTCTGTGACAGCAATGAATTCACAGTGCTGGGGGATATCCACAAGTGTGGCCTGACTGACACTGAGACATGCCTCAAGGGTGTCGCCATCAGCCTAAACGGGGGACAAACGGTGAGCAGCAAATGTACACACCTGACATCCTGCAGGGATGTTCTCTAAGGTTAACAGACAAGGCAAATGACACCTAACAGCACAGACAAGAAATTTGCACTGCCTTTTTGTTTTATCAAATTTGAACATTATTTTTACTTTTTCTTTTAATAAGTAAGCACATTAGAAGGGAAGATCTTAGTAGCTTTCTGTTACTTAGATAGCTTCTGGTTTTTGCTTTCTTTGACAGTCAGTGGAACACAGTAATAGAGATTAAGGAAATATTACAGGCATCAGAACCTCATCATGGTCTCCCTCCATTATTTTTCCCTTTATCTTGAGTAGTATTGGATAGGAAACATTTAGAAAGTATTTAATTTATCTGCTTGATAATAATTGTCTTTTCTTGTGGACAGAACATTGTGATCCAGCCTTCTGGGAGTGTATTTGTGAACATGATCTACACACAGTTACCATTTTCAGCAGGTAAGTTCCTTTGAAAAACTTGTATTTCTCATTTTTATCTTAAAATGTTATTACATGAGTTAACTAAAGATAAATTCTACCTCTGGTTACACTGCAGAAAACCCAGAGCACTGCCATAGTGCTCCCATTTTTATGTAATAGGATTTGCCTATTCAACATTAATAACTTCAGCAAGATCATGGTTTATATTTAGAATATGTAATTAGTTCAAGCAAATTGTGTTGTTGCACACTTTCAGATCCAAACATTGTAATAAGAGAGGAAAGAAAAATTCTGACATGCAACTGGAATACCAGAAGTGTGTGTTCTTCCCTCATTTTAAAACACCTGACAGAAAATGGAGGTTTTGTATACATTTGTTGCTTAGATGTTTAGGTTGGACTGTTTTGGTGCTGGATTTGAAATCCTGTAAGGATCATTTTCCCCCCAGTTCTTCAGAAGTAGGATCATGTCAAACACAGCTATAGAATTCCTCTACAATATTGTTCCTATAATGAACAATTATTTTCAATTGCTCATCTCAAATGGAATTATAACTATTTTGTTCTTATATCCCTAGCAAACGTCACCATCTTCAGGCCTTCATCTTTCTTCATAATTCTGCAAACAACTTTTGGTCTTCAGCTACAGGTTCAACTCGTGCCTTTAATGCAAGTTTTTATAGACTTGGACCCATCACATAAAGGACAGACCTGTGGTGAGTGACCTTGTCCTAACAACTGCCTTCACCAGCACCTGTCATCCTGTAGGAGACTTGCACAGACCATCTGCTTCCTTCTAGGTCTCTGTGGAAACTTCAATGATGTACAGACAGATGATTTCAAAACCACCAGTGGTGTGATAGAGGGCACTTCAGCTGCCTTTGGCAATACTTGGAAAACTCGGGCTGATTGTCCTGATGCCAAAAATACCTTTGAGGACCCCTGTACTGTCAGCATACAAAATGGTAAGCTCAGCAATCTCTTTTATTCTCCTTTAAGATGCAAAGATGGAGTAAGCTGATCAATCACCAAGCATTTAGCCAAAATAACAGAACTATTTGCACATGCAGACAACTTTCCTCCGTTGACACTAGAAATCTTCAATTAATAAGTAATAACTAGTAACATATTTTGGATCTTCAGATATATTCTTTTGGATGAATACAGCAAGTCAACTTAATTAAGGGAAACTGCAACCATACAGTATATTAGGGTTCATTCCTGGAAAGGACTGATTGTCACAGCTATGCCTAGCCCCTCTGAAGGTTGTAGTCCTTCCACTCTAAACTAAGAACCAAACTTGCAGTTCAGAGACTGAAATCATTCAAGCTGCATTTCAGCCAACAAAATAAGAATTCTTGAGTATTCACAAGCTATTCTTCTGTTTTCTGAGATGAAGTAGCATAGTTTTAATTTACTGTGTGAACCTTCCTTTTTAAAATTCAGCTAGGGGTATCTTTAGTCTATTCCATGACAATTATCATGAATTAGAGAACATTCAGTTTATAAAGAGTTCATACTTCTGCCTAGAGGAAGTGAAAGCCTGTGTGCCTCAGCAAATGCAGAGCTTAATTATATTGTAATGTTAAGCTTCTTTAATTTTCCTGGAGGTGGTATAGTTGTGTTGAGACAAGAGTTTTGCAAATGCACTGCCATAGAAATCCTTACCATGTTTTCAATTCACAGATCAGTATGCTCAGCACTGGTGTGGACAGCTCTCTGATACCACAGGACCTTTTGCTGAATGTCACTCAACAGTGAATCCAGAAGTTTACCAAAAGGTATTTGGCTCTAACTCCATCCATCCAATGTATGAGAAAAACCCTCAGATTTCTGATACTAGCACCTGAGAGAATACCTTGCCAGTTGTGAGGAGATGCATTCATGGTAGTTCTTTACAAGCCAAGGATTCATTCTTATCTACACAGTATGAAATTTGCTCCTTTGTGAAACTATCTTTCCCCTGGAGGATAAACATACATGTGTTTTCCTCCTGCATCTATTTTTAGGCACAAACTTAAGGACTAAGTTGGGAGTTTGGATTTGCTGTCAAAGAATAAAAATTGTCCCTTCTGAGAGCTATAATGAAAGCTTTAGCCAGAATCTTTACTGGCACTTTAACTCCTCTGAACTGCTCTCAGAAGGCTTTTGCATACAAGCAAGGACAAGGCAAGCAATGTGCGTTAAAAAACAACGAGAATTAGACAAGATGTGAATGAAAATGTTCCAGGAATTTTAGGTCATGAAACCCTGTACCAGAATCCCTGGGTACTTTAATTAACCTTCCTGTTATTGGAAATTTGTATTATGCTCAATAAATATAATCTGGAATTAACAATACTGTATTATCCCTGCCCAGCATAGAAACACATAAAATAACTTGTATTCTTTGTTCCTCTGCTGCAGAGAGCCCAGGCTCTTAAGAAAAAGCTCCAAAAGTTGGGTGGCATCAAATAAACTCCATTTATTCTAAATATATATGGCACAGTGGCAACAAATTTGGAGTAGTTGGAAAACTGCAAATGTGAAAAAATAAAAAGAAAAAATAGTTCAAAATAGTGAACCTCTAATTACTCTTTTTTTGCATAAATAATCTCTTTTGAAAGAGCTCAATGAAAATCAGGCGTATCCACTTATACATGTCTAGTCCACTTATACATGTGGATTACACTCACTTTAACCTCTAATGAACATAACACACGTAAAAAACTGCAGAGTTCCGTGGTTTTGACATGACATTCTGGTGATCACATCTTCTGTTCCTAGACCTGTATGTTTGACACATGTAACTGTGAGAAGAGTGAGGACTGCATGTGTGCTGCCCTTTCCAGCTATGTCAGAGCCTGTGCTGCTAAAGGAGTTGTTCTCACTGGATGGAGGAGCAAAGCCTGCAGTAAGTTTTACGTCCCTTTACCTTTCGAAAACGATCAGCCAGAAGGTCCCACACAGCAACTCTCATGGATTCCACAGTAAATTGTGTTAAACTGGTGTTTAAGTATAGCATTGACTTTCAAGAAGCTGAGTAGGAAAGGAATGCCATAAAAGACAAACAGCAAACAAGGAGATATATTAAAAATAGGCCTTGTTAGATTACTTGCTCAGAACCATCAGAAAAAACCTGAAGAGTAATACCTTTAAAACAGGAATAAAATAAGTAGGGTGTTTCTCAACTTTGACAATAAGTATAAAAACAGCATAGAGGAAGAAACATATTGTGTCTTAATGTAATTGAACTTTGTTCTTTTTTTTTAACTTGAGCAAAACATTTGACACATTTATAAGGGAAAATTTTGGTCTGTTACTACAAAAAATTACACTAATGGGCATGTCAGTAAAGCATATGTACATACAATGCCACGTTTATCGTACATAATTTAGCTCAAATACTTTATATGTATATTGATTCTTGAATGAACAACAAATGTAACTCACCTTCTTACTCTCAAGCAAAATACACCACCTTGTGTCCGAAGTCCTTGAAGTACACCTACAATGTTGATTCCTGTCAACCCACCTGCCGCTCTCTGAGTGAGCCTGATGTCACATGCAGCATCAAGTTTGTCCCAGTTGATGGCTGTACCTGCATAAATGGAACCTACATGGATGACAGTGGCAAATGTGTGCCTGCTTCTAGCTGTCCTTGTTACTACAAAGGAACGCCTCTGTCTTCTGGAGAAGTCGTTCATGATAATGGTGTTGTCTGGTAAGAGATTGGTTATAGGCAGTCATGAAACTATATAAATGTTATGAAATCAAATCATTAATTTGATTTCATAACATTTATCAATAATTATAATATCATTATAATATAATATATATTATCATTATAATATCATTATAATATAATATATATAATCATTATAATAACAATTATCAATAATTTCATAACATTAATCAATAATTTCTATAACAAAAATTTTCAATTAAAAAATCACAGCCCCTTAAATTCTTAGGGCTACCCATGTTTGGAAGATTGTACATAAACTATTACAGAAATTCAACAAACAGTCCTGTTGTGGGTCAGTCTTTGCTAACAGCCAAACTCCCACCCTGTCCTTTTCTCTCTGCCTCCCTTCTTCCCTTGCCTCCACACATACTTTTCTACTCCGTGACTGTAAAAGGCTTGTTCCATGGTGAAAAATGCCTGATGATCCTGTTAATTATTATTCCCATTATGATGGGAATCTGAACTATTCTTAAGGACAGCTTTAAACCAGGCATATAGACAGCGAGAACATTTAATTATATGGAATCAACTTCTGTTTTGTTCTACTCTAATATAGAATATTAATATTTTTTAAATGTGCAAATTATTTGATAAAGGACACATTTCATTTTATCACACAGTAATTTTTCATTATTTCAAGGTAATTGGGAAATAGGCTGAAACTTAACAAGAAGTTTAAAAACTATCCATTCCCTTTTTATAGCACTTGTGCCTATGGAAAGCTGAGCTGCATTGGAGAGAAGCCTGAACCAGGTAACAGATCACTTAAGGTTTTCTTTAATTCTTCCTTTCCATCTTCACTCTTTATTTCTTTCTTCTCTTGTCATAATGATGCATTTTGTACAAGTCTGAAATCAACCAAGAAAATGAACTGAGGTCTTCTATAATGTAGAGGACATTCTCAAAATACAGAGAAACACTGTCTTACTTTCAGGTGGCTGAAACAAGTTAAAACCTCCTGGGTTACCCAGGCCAAAATGATACTTGGTCACCTTACTCAATGTGAGAGGAAAACTACTCACATTTTAATTAAAATGTAAAAGCAAAAAACTCCTGAAGCAACAAAAACAACAAAAAAAGCCCAAACAAGTAAACAGGATATTTGTTATCCTGCTTTGTTCTGTTTTTCTGAAAGGAAGTGTTTCATGAAGCTAAATAAAAATTAATTTTATAGAGTACTCCTAGCATAATCATAAAAACCACTATGAGATCAAAACAATATTTGGTTTCTCTCTCTCGCTACATGCATCACATTAAGGTACACACAATTCAAAAGGAGTATTTCCATTTTTTTCTTGGAAACACAAAGATACAAATGCATGGTTGGTCTCATGTTTCTCATGGCTTTTACTCTCTTTCAGTCTGTGTTCCTCCCATGGTTTATGTTGACTGTGGCAATGTCACTGCAAATGTGGTAGGAGCAGGATGCCAGAAGAGTTGTCAGACTCTAGATATGGAATGTGTAAGTACAGATTCTTTATACTGAGCTGAAAGCATATTAATCAAGATATCTCTTACAATCACCAGCTGCAGCTGGACTCTTCCACCAGGAGACTGTTTCAAGACCTGTTTTCTTTATGGTCCTTACAGTACAAAACTCACTGTGTCTCTGGCTGCGTGTGTCCTCATGATCTAGTGTTGGATGGCAAAGGTGGCTGTATTGCTCCAGAAGACTGTCCATGTATTCACAATGGAAATTCCTACAGTCCAGGAGAATCAATCAGAGTTGGCTGTAACAACTGGTAAGAGTGTATTGAAAAATGTTTTGGAAATAAAAAAATAGAACAGCTTAAGATCTAAGCAAATAACATCATTTCACTCTAGCAGTATCAAGATTCCTAGGAAGGAATCCTGCATAAAACAATCCACTTAGTACCTAAAAAGCAAGCTCTGTCTATTTTTCTCAATGGCATAGCCCAGAAATTGCAAGTTATCAGAAAAACACCATGGTTTTGATGTTATCATGTTCATTCAAGTCAAAAAATCTTCTTTCTTCCAAGGAAATCCTTCAATTTCAATTGATCCAACAGGATTTGGAAATGTGAATGCCTTCTGATGCAGTTGATTAATTACATTAAGTAACATAGTCTTTGAATAAATTCCAATAGTTTTTGAGCTATAATGCATTTTTAAGAATAAGCAAACCTTATTTTTTCATTAGAATCTTAACAGACATTAAAATACAGAAATGTACCTATACACTGTATGCTTGTCCAGTTTTTACATTTGGAGTGCTTTTTGTCTTGTTTAGCACATGTAGAAACAGAAAATGGCAATGCTCTGAGGAACCCTGCCTGGAAACATGCTCTGTTTATGGAGATGGGCATTATACCACCTTTGATGGCAAACGTTTTGACTTTGAAGGAGACTGTGAATATGTTCTGGTCCAGGTAACAGAGTCCTGCCTAGATTTTTGCTCTAAATACCTTGAATTTTACTGATGGAACATGTAACATGTAATAAACAGCGAATGATATTCTCCTGTTTCAGAACTACTGTGGTCAACAAGCTATGAACCAGGGAACCTTCAGAGTCATCACTGAGAACATTCCATGTGGCACTACAGGAACTACCTGCTCTAAGTCTATTAAAGTTTTCCTGGGTGTAAGTATTTTCTTTAAGTTGTGCCAGAAGGATGGAACAAGATGCCCCAGGCAGACTGCATATGAGAAGTGGCCTCAAACATAATGAATATGTCACTAGACTCTTTTTTTCTCTCTGCTCTAGAAAGCAAAGGAGGGAAATCTACAAACTTCTTAACCTGAGGTTGTTGAATAGGATTCTCTTGATGATAATACTATTATTTTAAGAAGTTACTGTCAATATATAGAACTACAAAACAGTGAATTTTTAAATTGGCCTCTAACTTTTTCTTCTCCTGTCTTAGAACTATGAGCTGGTACTCAGTGATGGACACTCTGATGTCATCCAGAGAACACCTGGAGGAAAAATGCCATTCCAAATCCGTTCCATGGGCATCTACCTGGTTGTTGATACTACTGTTGGTCTGATACTCATGTGGGACAAGAAAACCAGTATATTCATCAAACTTAGTCCCAGCTTTCAGGTATACTTTAAAAGTGAAAACATGAATAAAATGAATTTGTAATATAGTCATATTATCTCTCAAAGAAAGAGGGTGGAAATTTAGGCTGTAAACCAGAAGAGCAGAAGTCACATATTATTATCCTTGTGTTGACTTAAGTTGTGTACTATGCATTATCCTTAAATTACATTATTCAGCAGTGGCATAATAATAACTTTATCAGTAGCTTTCTTCATGAGAAACCCTCACTGAAGAGACATATTTAGGATCAGCTAAAACTAAATAGTTCAGTACTTAGAACAAAACCTTCTACTCCTTCTTTCGAACAACTAGTTAGAGACATCTCTTCCTGAAAAGAGTTTTATGAAAATGTCCAACACTGTTATTAAATAGGCATTAATAATCTTATATAAGATGGTTACATGAGAGTCATCCTGATGAACAGAGGTCTGTTACTCACAGATACTAAGAAATTGTTCCTTACTGATCTGTCATTTTGTTTGTTTACCTGATGCAGGGCCATGTCTGTGGACTTTGTGGAAACTATGATGGCAATGGAAATAATGACTTCACGACTCGCAGTCAGTCTGTGGTAGGAAATGTGCTGGAGTTTGCCAATAGCTGGAAAGTATCTTCTAGTTGCCCAAATGCCAATCGTACACAGGATCCATGCACTGCAAACCCATACAGGAAAGCCTGGGCACAGAAGCAATGCAGCATCATCACCAGTGAAGTGTTTGCAAAGTGTCACTCACAGGTATGACAAAAAGTTTAGTCTTAAATTCTTGGCAAAATGATTACATCAATTTTTATGTGGAATAGATTAAAAAATACTCTAAAATACATTTTGTCATGCTTGAAGTTAGACCAAGTTCCTGTATAGAAAGACAGCACAGAAGTACTTTCACTTTCATTTTCTCAGCTTTTGTCTTCAGCAAGTATGCTAAAGAAATTGATTGTTTTGGTTGGTTAGCTTGTTTGTTTTAATTGAAGGAGCAACAGGAGATAAGTCTCAAGATTTGTTTATTTGCTAACAGCATAATTTTCTACTAATATAAATATCAGCCACCTGATATGTATGACTCTCTACTTACTTATAGTAATTACCAGTATTTTGCAAATGTCTTTAACACCAAACAGTTCTTAATATTGCAGCTTACTATCAATAGCTTTATTCTACATTTTCCTCTTGATTTTCCAAAGCATTCTCGGTATTTCTTCCTTTCTTAGGTTTCTCTCATACAGACCTATGAGTTTCAGATATCTTATTCAGGTATTTTAGGACATTGCAAAGAGGACAAGGGCATGAAAACTTGAATGTTTTCTTTATCAGGTTGAACCAAATGAATATTACCAAGCATGTGTGGATGATGCTTGTGCCTGTGACACTGGAGGAGACTGCGAATGTTTCTGCACAGCAGTAGCTGCCTACGCTCAAGCATGTAATGAGCTAGATATCTGCATATCATGGAGAACCCCATCCATTTGTCGTGAGTTTCAACCCACTACTTTAAGGGGTTCAGAGGGAAAGTAGAACAAGAAAGGAAGGATAAAATTGTATTTCTAAGAGGTGCAGCTGTATGCTTAAAAAACAAACAAAACCCAAAAAAAACCCCTAAAAACCCCAACAAAGCAGTTAGGTAAATCAGTAGACGACAATCTATCTTAGTAAAATGAAACCACAGGTAATAATTTTACAAGCAGTGTGATTAGTGTCTAATTAACTTGACAATCATGATACACTACTGGTGAAATATGATATTTTATTACACAGCCACATGTCTACATCAGGTTCCTTGTAAATAAAAATTAGTGCATGCTAGCTAAGATCAGTGATTCAGTCAACTGATTTTTTCATGTTTAATGTGTAACTGTTATATGATGAATATATTTATTGGTGTTAAAAGATTTTAGAAATGTAACAATTGTATTGCATTAGCAATATGACAATATATTGTTCACCACCTATGAGGTTATGCCGATCCCATTGGATTTTTACCTAGAAAAATGGAAACAGTATAGAGCTAAAACATCACAGATATTTTTTCTGGCATTTCTTCTTCTAGCTCTCTTCTGTGATTACTATAATCCACAAGGGGAATGTGAGTGGCACTACAAGCCATGTGGAGCACCTTGTATGAAGACCTGCAATAATCCAAGTGGGAAATGCCTTCATGAGATGAGGGGTTTGGAAGGTAAACATAATTATGTGTATCTCATTCTACTTGAAAGGTTAAAATGCAGTATGGTGAACAAAATTTGTATTACTTAGTCTATGACATGTTTGGACTAGAAATTACAAGAAGAGATTTTCTAATTAGTATTGTATTCCCTAATGGGTTATGTACTTGTTTGTAATGAACACAAGGACAAAATACTCCAAAGCATAATGTGCAATCAAAGGAATAGCAGTAAGAGGATCTGACATTCCACTTACCATGTGGGACATTTTGGGAAAAGCAGATATGAGTGTAGATTTATTTATACTTATGAAAGGCCTACTGTCAACTTGACGCTCTTTTTATTGCAGGTTGCTATCCAAAATGTCCAAAGAATAAGCCCTATTTTGATGAGGAAACCATGACCTGTGTTTCTTATTGCGGTTGTTATGAAGATGGAAAAAATTACAAACCAGGAATGGAGATGCCTTCAAAGCAGAACTGTGAATCATGGTAGGATTAGAAAAGAATTTTTAAAATAGTTTAAAATTGTGGAACAAAATTCATCACACATTAAATTTGTTAATTACCAACAGCAACTAGGCCAGTCAGAGGCTGATGAACAATGTCTAATTTTCTTCCCTTCCCAGGAAATTAAATGATAACATAGTGAAACATTTTATCACCAATAGATGAATTTACTACTTATTTTGTATATCTATTAAAGTCCTTTAAAGTTTTTATCACTATTAAATGAACTGAAAACAAGCTAAAATAATTGTAGTTACAGAATAGTCTGAGAATTTTTAAAAAGATATACCTAAACACATCATGTGATATTTGTTAGAAGTGAGCAGCCAACTAATCTACATTGTTTTGAGCTTGTTTCTGTTACTGCACTGGTACTTGCATAGTGGCAACAGCACAGATTCTCTCGCATTACTGGTGACAAGTGCTGCTAGGCCTCCTGTAAGGCTTAAGTACAGAGTTAGCAAATCCAGTTGTGAAGCAGTTGTCTTAAGATACCTTTAAAGTAGCTACATTTAAATGTGGTAAGCAGTGCAATCTGGATAGCAAAAATTCTAAGCCAAAGCCCACTGGAGCTCCAGCAATGTCCCTGGCAGGTTTTGCACTTCATAGATGCCTTGGACTATATCATCTAGGCCATTAACAGCAGTAAACCTAATCCATTAAATACATATCTAAATTTCAGTTTATTCAGTGTATAGATGTCCTTAGGGCCTGTAAATAAATACATCAAGATTCAGTTCTTCACAGATGAATTGCCCTTAAAACCAGAATTCTTCTTGCATATTTTGGAAGCCTAATGGAAATTCACTGTGTAGATAGCCTCAATATCCATGGTAGTAATCCTTTGTATATATCCTTTTAAATGCAAATGATACATTTACTGTGGTTTTCCCCTCCAAAAAAAACCAGACCTGTTGGGGAGATAAGAATGTTTCAAATCATCCATCTCATGTCTTTTGTTCTGTTCCCAAAAGCACTGGTAGAGAAGCTGCATGTTCTATATGTTGGCACAAAGAAGAGCTACCTTACTTGCCAGAGAACTTGTAGCCTGAATATAAATACCTAGCCTGAATTTCTATAGAAGAACTGACTATCTAACTCACACAAGATAGGGACATTTTACATTTAAATACACAATGAATAGCAAAGGATTGATAGAAGAAAAATTATAACAAAAAAAAATATGTCATGAACCAGTATGTGCACATTCATCTGTTTTTCTCTTTTTCAGCGAATGTACAATTCATGGCAAAAAATGCAGATATGATGAACATGGTATGTTGATGAAGACGTTTTGATGTGAATAAGACACATTTAGGGTACTCTTTGTATCAGGTAGTAAGGAATAACATCCTGTTTTAATCTACAGAATGTGTCTGCATTTATGAGGGGCAGAAGTACAACTACAAAGATGTGGTCTACAACACTACAGATGGCACAGGATGGTGTATTGTTGCAACCTGCGGTCCCAATGGAACACTTGAAAGGTTTATGCATGAATGTCTAACCTCAACATCACCCACAACGGCAACGACGTTTCATTTCAGCTCTACACCACCTACCACTACTTCCACAGGTACGTCCTTTGTAGCCACTAAGATTGTATTCTCTTGTTTAATTAGAAAAATATATTTTACAGTACTAAGTGGATTGCTCAGATATTGGCATTGAGATACGAAAATTGTGGGTTTTAGAATACCTGTACAGCATTACAGGCTGGGAATCTCAAGTTACTCTGGGCATATGTTGCTATATGAAATCAGTATTCAGTATAAAATACCTAAGTTCTGAAATTACAGAAAATATCAGCATTGCTAGAATTCAGTAGCTATTTTCCATCTATTTCATAATGAGAGTTGACCTGCAAAAGCTCTCCAACCAATAAATAGTTTCTTCAGGTCAGAGCTAAGATACAAAGTGTAGGAATGTTTGAAATAGAGAAATAAGGACTGCTCTGCACTGAGTGAGGAGCCAAGATTTGGAAGAAAAAAGTAGCAAAGGATCTTGATGCATACTATGGAAGTTATTCTTTCCACTGTTTTCAGTACATTCCAGAGAGACGAGTATATACTGAAAAAAAGATAGAATCAAGGCAAATACACTGAACCAAATGCAAAGCAAGTGAGACTTGGGTTTTTTCTGGAGTATATAAATTAGACCTGAGCCTTATTTCAGCACCTTGTAACACATAATTAGTATTCTCTCAGGAAGTGACAGTTCCAAGCATGTCACTACATTAAATTGCTGGGTGATGGAATTTCTGTTCTAAAATATACTAAAATAAAGTGATGCACTGCAGGAGCATAATGCAACACAAATGACATTAGGAAAACTGTCAGCCCATTTAAACAAAAAAAAAAAATTTACAAAACTTTACATTTAACAAAAAAAAAAAAAAAAGGAAAATAATAGCCACAGGAATTCATTCTTAATTTCATGGTCTCTTCCTTTCCCTTTTCTCCTTCACAGTGTCACCAACTACATCAGTATGTGTTCATGAAGTCTGTAAGTGGTCTGAATGGTATGACGGGAGTCTACAAACCCCTGGCTATGAGGGGGGAGATTTTGAAACTTTTGATGATTTACGAGCAAAAGGTTATGAAGTTTGTCAAGCCCCAAAGGCCGTTGAATGCAGAGCAGAAAAGTTCCCTGATATACCACTGAAAGACCTTGGACAAAAAGTAGAATGCAGTACGACACAAGGCCTTATATGTTACAACAAGGATCAAATTTCAACAATGTGCAACAACTACGAAATTAGAATCCTCTGCTGTGTATTTGTACCATGCTCTTCCACGCCTTTCAGCACATCAACCCCAGTCACACCTCCAACTCTGACAGAAACATCTACTGAAACAACATATTCAGTTACTACTGAAAGTGCATTGATACCTTCACCTACTGAAGAAACAACTAGAACAACAACACCTGTCACCACACCTCCTTCAACAACTCATCTTTGTTTCAAAGAAAAGTGTTACTGGTCAAGATGGTATGATGTCAGTTATCCAGGGTCAGGTTACAATGATGGAGATTTTGATACTATAGAGAACATTGAAAATAATGGATACAAAGTCTGCAACAATAGAAAGGATGTAGAATGTAGAGCAGTACGGTTCCCTAATACACCATATCCTCTACTAGAGCAACACATAACATGCAACACAGCAGAAGGGTTGAAATGTTACAATAAAGATCAACTGCCACCAATCTGCTACAATTATGAATTAAGATTTAAATGCTGTATGAATATAACAGTGCCATGTGAAACAACACCTGAAATTTGGACCACAACACCACAACCTAATATTCCATCAAGTACAACACCCAGACAAGAACCAACGACATTAAGTTTGCAAACAAAGCATAAGACAACAACAGAATACACAGTTGAACCAAAAACAGATTACATACACACCAGAATAACATCAAAACCAACGACGCAAACTCAAAAAGAAACTACTACTACAGCAGTGATAACCAGCACAAAAACATATTCAACTACCACCCCCTGTGAACCTGAAGTGTGCACCTGGAGC